AAAAAAAAAAAGAGACTGTTGTAAATTAGGAGCATGCTAAAGAAAAAGGAAGAAATCCTGCTGGGATTTAAAGAAAACAGAAGTCTTTTTAATAGTTCCTGACGTAGCACAATGAAGGGAAAAAAAAACGTAGCCAGCACTAAACTGCTATACTATGAAATCAATACAGATTTAAAAGGGTTTTAAGATATCCGAAAAACTTTAGGAAACATTTTTTTTTTGCCAATTCCCAGCATTGGTTTAAATGAGACGTACCCCAGAAGCTTATCTAAGCTGTAACTAAATGTTCTAATGCTATTATCTTATTGCAGATTACCATACCAAGCCATTTTTAACAGCTTAATTTGCCTAACTGTGTAAATTAATCAATAACCCTTTGGCTACAAAAACAAACTCTAGGATTTGTCATCTATAGGGTGTCCCCACAAAATGTATACACACTTTGAATATTATTATTAATTCCAATGGGTTAAATCTGAGAAGAAAACATCAATTGAGCTATCAGCTGTTTTAAAGCGTGTATACATTTTGGGGGAGGGGGGCACACTGTAAACCAAAAGTATCCAAATACCAATTTCCAAGCCCTGCAGGTGACCATAAGATCACAAATCCCACTTACTGTTCTATGAGTTCTGTTAAAGCACTCCACACACCTAGCAGAGACACAACACACTCCTAATTCCCCACAGTATCTTTTACCATTCTGCTTGCCTTAGGTGAGCTAGACTGTAGATGCTTCCAAGGGCTAAGATTTGGAGGGTAGGAAACCCAGCAGTTACTGACCCAGTACTAGGAAAGCAGAAGGTGAATACATTAGTTTTCTATTCTACAGTTTAAGATGAAAATATTTTACATATCAGTGACTTTTAGTTATCAGTGAACACTGGATAACTTCTGGCCAACTTCATTCAGATCAGTTGCTAACATAAACCAGCATCTAAATCAATCCTAAAGTGCTCTGTATACAAGTCATTGTCATAAGAGCCCAGTTCTGAAGAAACCAATATATAGACATGACTTGGAAACTAGTTAAATATCTCTTTATGCCTCTTTTCCCCAAATCCATTCCTTTTAAGAACCATACAGTACTTAAGGTTTTGTGGGGTCACAGGTGCTATTTAATGTTTTTTAAACAACCCTTTAAAAAGGTAAAACTCATTCTTAGCTTGTAGGCCATATAAAAATCAGTAAAACAGGATTCAGAAGTGAAATTAAGATATGATGTTCTCTCCTTTAATTCCTTAACTGCCTCCCAATATTAGCTATTAAACAAGTCCTTTAATTTGTAAAGCCAATCTGTACCCTAAACTGGTACTAGTATAGCAATTCCTAATTACACAAAAACAGGCAGTGAAAAGTAGAAAGCTTTCAAATCTGAGGACTAGTAGCACACAGGAGCTCCAGTGACACACTAGAGATCATTTCAGCCTTTAATAGCTAAGAATAGCCACCCTAAGAAATTATCTGTAACTATGTGGACAACAACCAAATTGAGGATGACTAGGGTCTATTTTCAGAGACAGTATAACAGCAGTCAAGTGAACACAAACTCCAGAGTCAGAAAATCCAGTTCAAATCCCAGCTCTGCCAATTACTAGCTAGTCTCTTCCTAGGTAGGGCAAGTTTACTCAATCTCTCTGTGCCTCAGAATGGCACTTGTATCTCAAAGGTCTGAGGATTACATGGATCGGTTCCTTTAAGGCATTTATAGTGGGAAGTATCTGATAAACATTACTTTTACTTATCATACACACATGGACTCCCAAGAAAGGGACACCCACACTCCCCCCACCCCCGCCAAGGGAGAGCACACCTGACAGCCAAGACTAAGTATTTTTGTAAAGAGGGATAGCTAAGCTGTTCCCAGGCTAGGTTTATTATACAATTTCTTAGTTCATGAGTAATAAATTCAAATGCATATACAAGGCCAGGCAGGAAGGGAAATCAACAGAGAACAAAGCCTGACACACTTGTGGTAAAGAGAATGTATGCCTCACTTAAAGGTGGTAATAATATTCATAGCCAGCAGAATTTTTTATTTACATGGAATTATAAGGCCCTAAAGCTAAAATTCTGGATATTTTTGGTGCTATCTCCTGAATTTAAAATGTCAGTAATTACATTTCTTTTTAAGTATTGTCCAAACAAAACACTGGGGGGGAAGATTTAGCTACTAGGTCACCAGTTTGTGACCTCTGCTTTATTTGAGTCTCTGCTCCAAATTCCTTCCCCACCCATAAACCTTAGAAACATTAATTTAGCATTTTAAGTACTCTGGAGAAAAGTATTCCTATTCTGGTCATGATAAGAGATACATGTCCCACTGAAAATAAATTGTCACCGATTCATGGCCAACCTTTTACAAGTTTGGTGAGCATGGGTCAATCTTCAACAGCTGGCAGCAGAGGACAAAACCACGTTTCTAGTTTAAAACAGCCGAACACAAATCCTGAAACCACTGACCCTGCACCATCCTTCTAATGGCACCTTCAACAGTTCTGAGTCAAGTTTTTCATAATAAAATAAAAAACAAAGGGGACAATCCCCCCCACCCCCCACCACATTATCCAATTATCTTTTGCAGACTCAGTACACAAAGAACAAAATGAATTTCTCAGAAAAAGCACTTACTTGTGTGTCTCTCACCCCCCACCCCCACCCCAGGTGTCTCTAGGCGGGTCTACATACTGAACTAACCGTTGGCCTCAGTAACTTTAAGACACGCATTTTCCCTTAATCAAGGAAACCTCTCCTGGACTTAATTGCAGCCAGATTTTAGAGAGTTTTATTCAGGAGTCTCAGAATCATTGAAAGGACCAATTTAGAAATATAAAGCACATTTAACTAGTTAATTTGACCAAATAGTTGAGGTTTGGATGGTCCAAACAAAAGATCATCAAAAACCAATTTTGATTTTTGCCCTGGAGGATGACCAATTGAGTTGATTACAAGTCAGAACAGAAATATTCAAGCAATGGCATATCATAAAATAAAAATTTATAAATGTAAAAGAACTACTCTTTCATCTTGGATATTGTTTACTGAAAAAAATATCATAACCTATGTCCATTTAACAAAATACAACAGAAGGCACATGCTACATTTTTTAAAGCACAAACTACAATCTAACCACTGAAAAGGCTGCAAATTACAGTCCCTTCTACTGTGCAAGCGATATCCTATTATTACACTGGGTCAAGGTTAAAAGCAATGTTTTTCAAGGTATGACCCACAAGCCATAATCACCTGGAATTCCTGTTAAAAATGTACCCCCGACCCAATGAACCCAAGCTGGGAAGGAAGACCTCAGAAATCTGTACCCTTCCAAAGCAAGCACACAAATTCAAAAACCATTGTTAAGGGTTAGGCTCTTACGCTGGAAATACTAACAAATGCTTTTAACAAATTCAGAGATCAGTTAACTAAAAAGTGATCAACTATGAGCACCAAAGCCTGCCTTCCTCACTAGTAACCCATTATCAAAAAACTGATGAAAAATGTTGCCTTCGCCTGTCAGGAAGGCAGGCAGTGTAAGAATAGATGGAAAATTCCTAAAGGTTTTGGAACAAAATGTTTCCCCACAACTGCAAACGTGGAAAACAGACCATCAGTGCTTACAATTTCTTTTGCCCCCCCCTCCCCCCCAATACTTTATGGTTGAGTAATGAATGGTCTTTCAGCAGCCAATTATGTCTGTCTTTAAACTTGATCTTGCCCATTTGGTTTCCTGCAGTGTTGTCCATTTCATAAACATTCGGTATTACTTCTTGCGTTCTTTTAAACCTCTAGTTGTTTAATGTCTTCTAAAGCAAGGATGTAAGAAAACGCTCAGACGACTGTATCATGCCAATACTATTAGCATACAGGGTGCACTACACCCATGTAACTGCACTTCCAGCCTTGGCAGCCATCTTGGAAATGATGCCCGGCTCACAAGGGAGACCACCGAGTACTGTGAGTAAACTGCACCTTACTATCACTGTCGCTACAAACAATTCTAAGCACTATTCCAAAAGATGTAGTTTGTACCTTTGCCTTCAAATACGAAGAAAACTGTTGTTATGGACTAAGGCCACTCCGATAAGCTTTAATAAAACTGATCTAACAGGTATTATTTTGGGACAAGAGAGTACAAGAAATAATTATCGAGGAAGGCAAGGCCATTTTATTCCAGATGTTACTTACTCTATGAGCAAATGAAAACAACTCTTGTTGTCAAAGCAGTCCTAAAACGAAATTCACCTAAGGCTTTCAAACAGTGTATGTTGACATGTTAGACAAAGGCACTATAACCTTAGTCAAGATGACCAGACCTCATACACTTGCATTGTTAAATCAGGTTACCCCCCGAAGGTTAACAAGTTGTAATAACCTATAAACTAATCAATGGGTCACGCTTTCAAATACCAATTTCAATAACGTATAAAATGATGACAAGCATAGAAACGCAGTGGGCCAGTCTAACAGAATTATACTAGATCTTAGTTTCATCGGTTTGCCCTATCAGATGGCTCACTCATTCTGCTTGCCTTTTAAATTGCGTTGTACCATAACAAGCCTTTTAAGTTAGCTTTAGATTAATATTTAGTTGCAAAACAAAGACAATCTCTAGATCCACTAATCCTTTCAGTCATCAAGGGAAACAAAATTCTCCCTAGTAACACACCAGAGGCAGTAATCTAGGCATGCTTAAGCAATCCCAAGTCCGCAAAGCCAGCAGCTTGGAGCAGAGCGTGCAAGGTAGGATGGTCAGCTCACCTGTTGATGAAACCATATCCGTTTCTTACATTGAACCATTTTACTGTTCCCAAAACCTTCGTTGCTGGAGGAGAAAAAAATAAACCCACGATTACCAGGCACGCTTTTTTTTTTTTTTTTAA